CGACCAAGGGAAAATCCGTAAATAAGCAAAATCTACAGCTTATTAGTCTAACAAGAAGCTGCTCTTCGTCGTCATCCTCAAAGGGTAGATTTGTCGTTTCCTTTCTCTGGTTCTCCAAGCGCTGCTTGTTCTTATCTGAATTTACAGGGTTTCACAGCATTAACAACCATTACGACTTCAACAGCGATTTGTCCTTTCTAAATTCCTCATTTTTTTCTTCCAAATTCGGATTTCCTCTTTCCCATCAGTCTTTTTGGTCGATCTTGCTGAAGATTTTTTTCAAGCTTTCTATTTCAACCGATCTATCTGATCTATCTATACTTTGTGAGTTCTCTTTTTCCACTTCTACTCGATATTGTTTCTCCGGTGGATTTCATTTGTTGTAACTTGGACTTTTCTTTCCATGATATTTGATGAAATTTTTGTTTCCTCTGGGTTTACAAATATTTTGAATGTGTAGTTTTGATGTTAGCAAAAGGAAATCATAGAAAAATTATCGGAAGGAAAGGATTGTTCTGAGCTTAAATAGATTATACACATGCACTGAACTTTTTGCTTCAACTGTTACTTTAGTTGTAATTTTCGATCTATAGTGTTAGTCGTGGATTGTAAATGAACTCCTAAATTTCAGCTCTTACATTTACCGAATGTGCAAGTCTATGGTAATCAGCCTCTAGGCTCTATGTTCTCTTGCTCTCTAATTAGCATAAATGGGAAGTGCTTTAATAGATTAGTATGTGGATGATGAATATAATATAAACATTATGCTGCCAGAAAATTCTCCATTTCCAAAACAGAGGAGGTAAGGATTTATGAAACTCAAATTCTAAAAAATCTTACTATTTCTTATAGATATTTTATAGGTACTTCAATATTTCAGTCTTTTCCAGAGGATACCAAAAGTTATAAGAAAAATGAACCTAAGATAGAGGAGGAAGAGTCTCATAAAATTTGAATCTTTGCACTACTTAGTGGAACAAACAGATAGAGCAAAACAGTTCTAACAAAGTGGTAGATTTTCTCAACACAAGAATTGTTTTCTACGTAACCTTAAAGGCAAAACAAACCATTACCGCTTGAAAACCAACGCTACAGGAAATTGGATTTCGCAAGCAAAATTATTATTGGTAGTATACATTTTGTTCTTGCTAACACTGGTAAAGTTTTCCTCTTAGGTAACAATTTCTTTGCTAACGTATTACTATATAAGATTAGAGATGCAGTTAAGGGATCGTTGCCTTTGTCAATTGCTAATTAGAGTATTGCCAGAACAACCAAAGACTGAAGCAACTGTTGCAACACAAACTTGATCTCTGCTCTGAAACCTCCATAGTTAAATGAGAGTATCTTATCATTTGTTGTCTCTCTTAAACAAGACACGGCAGGAAAAAGTGATGCATCTATCTCCCTATTATACCTAAAGGTCAGCTTCTCAAGGTTGGCCAGTTTTAGGTCATTCAAAGGTGATTAAATCTTGTCCAAATCTGCATAGTTAACAAAACCCATCAATGTGCAGACTATATTTTTATTTTGAGCTTTTCAATATATGTGTCGGTCAAGTTAAGGCATTTACGTTGAAACAAACGGCTAAGAATCATTTTTGCCATTAAAATGTGCACATATAGTGTTTAACACGACTGAATGAAAATTGTTAATCTACTATTCTATCGTGATATTGCTTTCACAAGTTTCTTTACATTCTCTGATTATCTAATACAATATCCTTCTTATTTTACAATCCGAATTTGTTGAGCTAATTACATATGTTTCCTGTTATAGCTGTGTCCATGGATAAAAAAGTCATCCCTCCACCGTCATCCTCACAAGAAAAGGCACGCCAATATTCAACGGATAGAGCCTCCATTATTAATAATAGGCGTCGCAGTATATATAAACAACTCTCATCGGATAAAAAAGAAGCACTTCTTCTTCACCGACGGACAAGATATCAACAATTGAGGAACAAAAATCTCCTTGGTGGTTCTCCCACTCCACTACCTACTGTTCAGCTTCAATTCACTGGACAAAAAGGTCTTCCTATTACAGATATACCGCCTCACCCTGAAACAGGTTTCCTAATATTATCTCTAACTAAGTGTAGTTCTGATTTACTGATGGTTATAACACCATTGTTCGTGCTGTAGGCGACACCTCTCGCGTTGATACTTCTGCAGTTGTATCGGGTAAAGCAAAAGATATGATTGGTTGCCTATCCATCTATGAAGTAGGTACGTCACAGTAAAATGCTGTTGATATTCACTTTTCTGGAGATTTTTTTTTAATGTCCTCATTACAACTGTTTCTACAATAGGCTCGACGTCGGCTGCACCTGTTAAACAGCACAGCCCAATTGCAATCACTGTGACTACCAAAGGTTTGTCTATTCCCTTTTCCTACTTACAGAAAAGTCAGGATTTAAGAGAAATCTTATTCTATTTTCATTCAAATCATCTTGAATGTAGGTTCTGCATCACTTGCCCATCAACAATATGATCCAAAGGCAATCACTGACAAAAACAACGGTTTGTCTCTCTAAAATTTTTTAGTTATCTTCACTTGCTTAGATGTTCCTCCACCTTAGCTCTTCTTCTAGCTTATACCCTACTCCCTTGGAATTAATTTACACAGGTAATAGGTTAAGAAGTATATATTGTTGCAATATTAAACAACTCCCCAACAATCCAAGCATTTTAAAGAAAATGCCTTCTTGTGAATACTGTGGGGCAAAAAGATTTCAGTATGAATCACCAGGATTTTGCTGCAGTAATGGCACCGTTAAATTAGCATCACATGAAATGCCTACAGAATTACTAAATCTGTTGTTAGGAGACACTGCTGAATGCAAACATTTCCGTACCTACATTAGAATGTACAATAACATGTTTGCATTTACTTCTCTTGGAGTAAAATATGACAAAGAGCTAGCAAAAAGATATCATGGTATATACACCTTTAGAGTTCAAGGACAAATGTATCATTTCATTGATAATGTATTACCTTCAAATCAACAACCAAGAAATCTACAATTATATATTTATAATGATGATACTGAAATGTTGAATCGTATGGCTTCTTCAAGTATTGCTAATCAATCAGTTGTTCAAAAATTAATGAATATATTAAAGATAAATCCTTACTGTATCTTTCTAAAATCTCTAATGCAAGTTCCGAAAGTACCAAACTTGTATATTGCACTCAATTGTGACTCTGCATTAAATCAACAAGTTTATAACCTACCGACAGTTTCAGAAGTGGCGGCAATATGGTTAGACCAACAACCAAACAATAGTAGCTCTACACCACATATTCAAATTTATCCTTGTAGCAACACCAATCAATTAGTCAATTATTACTATGGTTGCTATGATCCTTTACAGTATCCATTGTTATTTCCATTTGGTCAAAATGGTTGGCATTGTGGAATTAAAAGAGTTGAACAGATTTGCAAGAAAAAATTTCGATCTCAATGTGAAAATGAACAACTTCCAAGTTTATCAAATATGTGTTCTATTGAGGGACTGCTTGATATAGAAGCTAAAGTACTACAAAAAGGAAAACGAAAAAGAGATGACATCTCTTGTCGTGAATACTATTGTTATAAATTTCAAATGAGACATAATGAAATAAATGGAGTATTACAATCAGGAAGACTTTTCCAACAATACTCAGTTGATGAGTTCATAAAAATTGAAACTCAAAGGCTAGATTTTGTCTCGTGTAATCAGGATTTATTTCGGACTGATCCATTACAAGGGCTTATTGATTTTCATAGACATGGTGACAGAGATGCTTCAAAAGTAGGGAAACAAACATTTCTTCCTGTAAGCTTTACAGGAGGTCCTAGAGATATGCGTCAACGTTATATGGATGCTATTACGTTAGTTCAACATTTTGGAAAACCTGATATATTTCTTACTATGACTTGTAATCCTTCTTGGCTAGAAATAGAAGAATATTTACTGTCAACGGATGAAGCTCAAAATAGACCTGATTTGATTTGCCGAGTATTCAAAGCAAAAGTTGAAGAGCTAAAAACAGATATATTAAAAAAAAACATATTTGGAAAAGTTGTTGCATTTATGTACACTATTGAGTTTCAAAAATGATGCCTTCCACATGCTCATTTTCTTCTAATTCTTAATGATGATTTCAAATTAATTACTCCCGAATCATATGATCAAGTTGTTTCTGCTGAGCTTCCTGATATAAATGAAAGTCCTTACTTACATAAACTTGTTAAAAAACATATGATGCATGGTCCTTGTGGTTATTTAAATCCTACAAATTCATGTATGAAGAAAAAAGGAATTTGCAAATTCAGGTACCCAAAGAATTTTGCTGACAAAACAACAAAAGGAAAAAACTCATATGCAGTCTATAGAAGAAGAAATACAGGCGAGCATGTCGAGGTTAGAAAACAACTTCTTGACAATTCATGGGTAGTACCTTTTAACCCCTACCTACTATGCAAATTTAATTGTCATATCAATGTCGAAGTATGTTCTGATATAAAGGTTGTCAAGTATATCTATAAATATATTTGTAAAGGACACGATAAAATATCCTTTTCTATACGGGAGGATGATACAAATGTTGAAATAGATGAAATAAAAGAATATCAATCTGCTAGATGGGTATCTGCACCAAAAGCTGTATGGCGTTTATTTGCTTTCCCCATTAGCGAAATGAGTCCATCTGTTTATCATCTTCAACTGCACCTCGAAAACCAACAATTTGTTTCTTTTAAAACAGCTGATAACATAGACAAAATCATGAATAACCCCATGATTAGGAAAACAATGTTAACAGAATATTTCCTAATGAATAGAACAAACGAATATGCTAAACAACTCAATTTATTATATAAAGAATTTCCACAATATTTTGTGTGGTCAAAATCATACAAAATTTGGACACGAAGACAACGAGGTCATGTTATTGGCCGTCTTGTCACATGTCATCCAACAGAAGGAGAGAGATATTATCTTAGACTTCTACTAATGAATGTAAGATCCCCTGAGTCATACCAAGATCTTCGAAAAATAGATGGAAATTACTACGACACATTTAGAGAATCTGCAGAAAAAAGAGGATTGTTACATCATAATAACAACTTGGTTGATTGCATGACAGAGGCTGTATGTTATCAAATGCCTTATAGCTTGCGACATCTATTTGCTACAATATTAGTATATTGCAATCCTGATAATCCAAAAGAACTATGGGAACAATTTGAAGAGTCAATGTCTGAAGACTTCAATAAATTACCAAACATGGATCCAAAAAAAACAAGACATTCAGTTTTGAACCATATTAATGATGTATTACATACCATGGGACATGATGTAAATGAGTATAGATTGATTTCTGAAAATGTTGTGAGTTCAAGGGTAGAGTCAGAGGCAAAAGATGTTAATTTTGAAAGGAATATAGTTGTTACTAAAGAAGATCTGCTATTATATAAAAAACTGAATACCGAACAAAAAAAAGCATATGATATTATCCTTCAAAGAGTACTTACTAACGAATCAGGTGCTTTTTTCATTGATGGTCCGGGAGGAAGTGGTAAAACATTTTTGTATCGTGCTTTATTGGCCACTGTAAGATCTAAAGGTTTCATAGCTTTGGCGACAGCAACTTCTGGTGTTGCGGCATCTATACTTCCTGGAGGACGAACAGCCCATTCACGATTCAAAATTCCAATTAATATTGACGAGCAGTTCTCCTGTAACATCAGTAAGCAAAGCTCTCTCGCATCTTTAATTCGTGATGCAAAATTAATTGTATGGGATGAGGTATCAATGTCAAAAAAAAATATGATTGAAGCTCTTGATTTGCTTATGAAAGACCTAACTGAAACAAATATACTCTTTGGTGGAAAAGTCATAGTGTTTGGAGGTGATTTTAGGCAAACGCTTCCTGTTGTCCGAAGTGGAAAAAAGGAAGACTTTATTTCTGAAAGTATTTTAAACTCCAGAATTTGGAATCAACTTGAAAAATTGAGACTATCAGAAAATATGCGTGCAAGGACTGATCCTGTTTTTTGTGAATATCTTATGAGAATTGGGAATGGAAAAGAAAAAACAAATATTAACAATAAAATAGAAATCCCAAAGCAGTTCATCATTCCTTTTACTACTGAAAAAGAGTCATTAGATCTTTTGTTCAAAGTGATATATGACTCTTCTTTTATGACATCTCGTGTTATCTTGACTACAAAGAACGACTTTGTTGATGAACTAAATGATAGACTCATAACTCAATTTCCAACAGTTGCTAAAATATTCATAGCTGCTGATGAGACTATTGAACCAAACGATCAACCTCAATTTGAGGACTTCTTACACACTCTAAATGTTCCTGGCTTACCTCCGTACAGATTAATGTTAAAGCAAAACTGCCCTGTTATATTATTGCGAAATTTAAATCCTTCTGAAGGCTTATGTAACGGTACACGATTGGTGTGCTGTGATTTCAAAACACATGTTATAAGTTGTAAAATTGCAAGTGGTGACTTCAAAGATAAGCACGTATTTATTCCAAGAATACCATTACTATCATCAGAGGATGAAAAAATACCTATTCCTTTTAAAAGAACACAGTTTCCTATACGTCTATGCTTTGCAATGACTATAAATAAAGCACAAGGACAAACATTAGATTATGTTGGTATCTATTTACGTGAACCAGTTTTTTCCCATGGTCAATTATATGTTGCTTTATCAAGAGCGAAAAGTTCAAACTGTATAAAAATATTGATTCGACCTCCTACTGCAGATAATGATGATGACCACTCAACTTGTAATGTAGTATACAATGAGATCATTCAAAAAGCTTTGTTATGAACATATTCCAGGTATCTCGATAACTGACTAAGATGTGCCAACATTTATGCAACTACTGCACAGAATAGATACAGAATGTTCACTTATGATGTAGGCTTATTATGTAAGTCACTCAATCCTGCTTCTTCTTACAGTGGTTGCAAACTATCATACAACTCAAACAAACTGATAAACCAACTACTTACTCATGCAAAACAAATGATGATTCACCAACACTACACTATTGGTACCCTCGTGAACGAAACCATTGTCCCAATACAAAACCACAACTTTCCCTGCTCCTTCAAAAAGGTTTCCATTATTACTAATTTAATACTAACAGTCACTTAAACTCATGTTTTCCAACTTTTCCTAATATCATTACTTCTATCACATTTCAAGTTATACATTCTTATTTCTGTTCTCAGTTCAATTGCCTGTTCTAACACCCAGTAACCATTAAAAAGGTTTTCTTAGTTTTGAATTACCCCATTTCTGTTTAAAACAAATTAGCTTATTCTTCCACTTGAATGTTGACGACATAACATCTACAGTATTAAGAAGGCACTCAATAATTTCACTTTTCATTTGTCATGCTTCAATAGGCTTGGTATCTCTGTCATCCACATGCTGAGAAGGTGCTCCACACCATTCAGGAATCAAGTTAGTTGTACTGTCAAATTTTGACATCCAATTAAAACCACTGTTGAAAACTCTTCAGTTGTAATCACTGCTCAGCTAAGGTAATGTATTTGTTCTCTTTCCTTTTCCTTCCATTTCATACTTTCTCATTCCATACTTCATATTCTATTTGGCTTTTCAGAGGTTAAATATCACATGACATACTTTTCGGCTAACCAACTATATGGACTTAGATAGCAGCTAATGGAATATTCAGATTAGGATAAAAGATTAATCAGGTACCAATAGTCATAATACTACTACGGAGTTTCTTCTTATTTGATTCTCTTATACTTTGATTATCATCTTATTTTGTTGTAGTTATTGTTACATTTTCGAACATACAACTTCTCTCGTACTTTTCCTATCTTCTTATCATAGTGGTAGTAGTAATCTGTGTGAAAATTTTTTGCAGCATTATATTCCCTCTAATGTAGCTATGGATGAAAGAATTATCAAAAATTGTCAGCTACTTTGTGTAATACAATACTTATTGATTAATCATGTGTCCATGTCTTATTTTGTAAGAGATTTGATGATGTTTTAATATTTTTGAAATCTCAAACCAAATGTTATCTTTGTGCTTGCATGTATTCTGTTTTTTATTGCTAAAACTTAGAATGTTAGTTTTCTTGTGTTTAATATTGTCCATCTTATTTTGTGGCAAATTATCGTGATGCTTCATAATTGTTGCAAGTGCTATTGCACTATATTGATGGGAAAAATAAGGCTTTCAACATACTACATGAAGAATTATGCTTTCTTCAAAAGATTTCTTCTTATATTTTCTTATTTGTTGATTCGATTTTCTCATATGTTTGATTCGATTTTCAGAATCTGCTGCTGTCATAGATTGCCATTTTTAGATATTTTATTCACTTAGCACTCGATGTTTCAGAAAAGTAATGGAAAGGTATAAAAGTTGGTAACATGTGGACAAAAAACATATTGAATTGATGCTGTTAATTTTTCATTTCAGGTTTACATCTAATACTGACTAGGTGAATAATAAGTATTATCTTGAGCCTGCTTCTTTGGAAGAGATAGTTTGGTATGGACTTTGGTTCCTTTATTTGCAGTTTAGCACTCTAATTTTTTTCATTCATTCATATGATAAGACAAAGTAGTCTTACTTGTTGCAGAAAGAAAAGTTGTGGTTTTTTGGAAGAGATAGTCTGGTATGGACTTTGGTTCCTTTATTTGCAGTTTAGGTCTTTATTTGCAGTTTAGGACTCTAATTTTCTTCATTCATTCATATGATAAGACAAAGTAGTCTTACTTGTTGCAGAAAGAAAAGTTGTGCTTTTTTGAAGTACGAATAGAAGTTTTACAGCTGATAAATCGGTGTTAAGGGAAACTGCAACAACAAATGGCGATGAATTTGATACTCTACTTGGTCAGAAAAATAGCTTTCCTTTTCAATTGGTGTTTTCCTGTTTCACGTATTGTCTTCATTATTACTTTCTAAATGAGATTAGCTTCACTGAATTATTATTATATCTACCGTTTTTCCTTTTCCTATGCTACTTTTGAATAACAATTTAGGTTAAATCCACACGAAAATGTTGCTGCTGATCTCCTGTTTTCATTCAAAGTTTAGAACACGAAAGGCTATCATCTAAGCACAAAAACAAATGTGTTTCCCTCAGATAGCCTAACCTCACTTTTACGTGTGTGTATGCTTCATTAGTTGTATACTAAAATTCCATGATATCACATAAATTGAGAAAAAAAATACTAATATATATTGGGCCCCGTGCTGGCACGGGGTCCTGTATCTAGTATATATATATATGATATGATAGTCGACTAGTTCAAGTGCTCAAATAATGTTTGATAGCTAATTAGTTTGAATCATGACCTCAAAGCATGTCATAAACTCAATTATCATAATGAATACAATTACTATAGACTGTTCCACTTTTTCATAATAGGGAAAATTGTCAAATATGCTCCTAAACTATTCGAAAAGGTCTAGATATACCCCCGTTTAAAGTTTGGTTCACTCATGCCCTCGCCGTCCAACTTTTCGTCTAAATATGCCCTTATGGGCATTAGTTGGCAGCTGGAATTGCCACGTCATTTTTACATTACTTATATTAAAGGTAAAAGGGTCAAATATGCCCCTAAACTATTCGAAAAGGTCTAGATATACCCCCGTTTAAAGTTTGGCTCACTCGTGCCTTCGCCGTTCAACTTTTTGCATAAATATGCCCTTATGGGCGTTAGTTGATACGCTGAAATATCCAGCTCATTTTCCTAATTCGGATATGGGTCCGAATATTTTAGGGATTCCGAATATTTTAGGGGCATAGTTGATCCCTTTCCATTTTCATAAAAATGCCACGTGGTAATTTAAAGTGACGTGACAATTTCATTTGACATTTAAATAAAGTGTAAATGAGCTGGATATTTCCAGCGTATCAACTAACGCCCATAAGGGCATATTTATGCAAAAAGTTGAACGGTGAAAGCACGAGGGAGCCAAACTTTAAACGGGGTATATCTAGACCTTTTTGAATAGTTTAGGGCATATTTGATCCTTTTTCCTTTTAATATAAATATCACGTGGTAATGTAAAAATGACGTGGCAATTCCAGCTGGCCAACTAATGCCCATAAGGGCATATCTAGATGAAAAGTGGGACGGCGAGGGCATGAGTGAGCCAAACTTTAAACGGAGGGTATATCTAGAGCTTTTCAAATAGTTTAGGGGCATATTTGATCCTTTTCCCTTCATAATATTGCCTTTTGAACTAATAGAAAAAATAATCAAATATGAATTTTCTTGTATTCACGCAGTCAACATAATTTGAATTTCAATACCTAATCACATCAAGATGATTAAATTGTCTATAAGTGAGAATATATTCTTTTGTTATTTTCAAGTATGTTAATACTTTCTTCATAATTTTCAAAGATCCATTCATTAATGCTTTGATGTCCAACAATAAAATTTATGTCTAATCTCGTGTGTATATATATATATATATATATATATATATATATATATATATATATATATATATATAGGTTTTCAATTAGGATGAATAAAAGATATATATTTTTATCTATTATTTTTTGGATTTAATTAAGACTAAATTTGAAATGAGACTTGATGAACATTTATTTCTTCTCTATATTTAATATAGACTTTCTGAGACAATTTAATAATAAGTTTTTAGTAAGAAGTTTACATAGTCTATAAAAGCAGAGATAGGAGCGCGAAGTAGGTTAAGGGGTCCTCTAAGCTAAGAGTAGGGTATTAAAAAATTAAGGCTTTGACGAGTAAGGTCAAGAGTCCAAATAGTAGGTACCAAGATTCGGAATGTAGCGAGTTTAAGTTATGATATTGTTTGCAACAAATTTTAAATATATAAAATAACTCAATCATAAATAAAATATGAAGAAACATGCATATTTTATTGATAAATCAATACGGGTATAATTCTATTCATCCATTGATTCTCTCTCTTAAGATTTTTTTTTTCATGGTTCTAGAGTCGTTAGTGGCATATTTATTGAATTATGATGATTTGAATTTGATCTATTTATGAATATCCCATAGATTTGTGAAATATTTGAGATGCCTCTTCAAAGGAATATATACCATTTATATAGGCATGAGTTAGGGTTTAAGTTAAAGTAGCCTCCAAGAACCCCAACTTGGACCCCAAGTGATATAGAATTCATCTTGTAGAGTCCTACAAAATTTCGATGTCTATAAATACTCCCTGCTTCAAAGCTTGTCGGAATGTAGACTTGATACAACTTGAAGACGATGCTCGAAGTATCCATAGAAACAGAGTTTCCATCTTTACAATTTTGTGACTTCAAATTTGCAGATCTAATTTGTGAGAGAAGAGATGAAGGGCAAATTTGATCACACCGGACATGCCAATTTATTTGCAACAAATTTCAAATATATAGAATAAATCAACCATAAATAAAATCTAAAGAAACATATATTTTATTGATAAAGGAATAAGGGTACAATTATATTTCTCCCTTGATTCTTCTCTCTTAAGATTTCTCCATGATTCGAGGGCCAAAAGCGGTGTATTTCTCAAATTATGATGATATTGATTCAATCTCTTTATAAATATTTCATGAATTCGTGGAATATTCAAAATGCCTCTTCAAGGAAATATATTACCCTTTATACAGGATTTAGGGTAAAGTAGCCTAGAACTCATCTTGTAGAAAATGAACCTGGACAGATTTGAACGTTTTGATTAAAAAGAAATAATTACCATTTACAAAAGTTTAACCAATGATTAAAAATAAACTCAAACTAAATCCCAATTTTAAAAAGTAAAAAAAAAATTGTGCAACCATCTAAAGCAATATTGAAGGAGACCAAAAACTCAAGGCTTTAACCTACTCCGCCCCACCCCCGCCTAGAGATTGACCCACCCCGCATAGTCTTAAAATCACACCGCCCCAATGCCATCCCTAATATTAAGAGCAAATATTGTATTAAAGTAGTCATTTCTTTGAAATAAAAAGTGGTATTTGAAATTAGAAAAACTAAAATAAATTGCCATCCTTTTTATTTTAAGACAGTAACTTCTGTATTTGACGTATTTGGCTTGTCTGTAAATTAATATATCAAACAAATAATTTGCCTAATGTGAAAATGACACCTAGATGAAAGAAAGGTGTCAGGTGGTACTGACTCAGGCAACAGTTGAATTCAAAACTGAAATATATACAGTTTAAAAATTAAGTTAAAAAATACTATAAGTCACAAACATGACAAATGATAGTTTTCAAAACCAGTTAAAGAGGAAAATTTTAAAATCCAAGTGCAAATAACGTTCCAACAAAAGCTATAGATTAGTTAACCAAAAAAAGTATAGAAGGACTAAATTGTTTTTGATTGGAAAGAAAAAGGTAGAAGTAACAGGGATGAACCGTTTGGGTAAAATCCCTGTTATCACAAAAGATGCAGAGTTTTGAACTTTAAAGCTGAGGAGCAGTACTATTGTACATACAGACGGGGGGGCTTTTTTTCTGAAAAAATCAACGATGATGCCTGCCCTGAAAGCCGCCTTTATTCTTGGCAATGAAGCCGTTCTTTGGTTTTGGAATCTCATGAATATCCATCACCTGTATTGTCCTTTGCTTTTTAGCTTCACAAAAGCAAAAACAATACATCAACAGTCAATAAAATCCATCCAACTAGAGCAACAAACTCTACTTTTGCTATTGCTAATAATACAAATCCAAAACCACACCATTTTGAGCTTCTTGGTAATTCTCCTGAAGCCGCCTCCTTGCTGAATTCAGCCTCTCAATATCTATAGCTGATTCCCTCGGAGGAGGTCTCTGCAAATACCCGGAACAGACATCAGTTCCATATTTACAAAACTTCACTCCCATCAGACTGTCTGGTGCACGACATATAATTATATGTTGTCGTGCACCTCACCAGCAATTAACTAAATTGGATATATTGTATTTCTATATTAGGCAAGTTACTGAAGCTAATAATTAGCACCTACAGGCTACAGACACAACTAAAAATCACCAATTCAAGAACCAAGGTAGTTATATGGCGATCATATGAGTGGATGATTGAGGAATAGATACTGCAGCAATTACAACTTAAACATGATCTCTAATATGGAAAAAGATTCATGTGAACATGAATGATGCAATAGTAATCAACTGTATACATATTGGACCTGCCGACCTGCTACCATTATTATTTGGGAAGTAGTTGAGCTAAACTATACCAACCTAACTTTAGTCAAATACTGAAAGAGCTTCAAGTCACTATACTCTACCTTGAGCAGGAAACCCATTCATCTCATTATTAATTGACATACTTTCTTTAACTAGCAAGAGCGAATGTTGTACTAAACCATGCAAGTATACAAGAGTTGAGCTTTATACACTTGGGGGAGGAGCCGAAGCAGGTTTAGGAGCAGACTGCAGTGGTCTAGTAGGGGTTACATTCCGTTGGGGAACTGGTTTAGGCTTGTACTCTGATTCTGAATTATTCCTGTCTGAGCTCGAACTCCCATCTAAAAGGAAAACGATTGGTCAAAGACGATAAATGGATACTAGAGTAAGTATGTATTAGGCAAAATGACATGTTGGAATCAGATTCCAATCTGATACTCACTTCGAGGATTCGGTGAGTATGCGAAGTCAGGAACCTGCAAAATTCAAAAAGAAAAACAAAGAAGTTAATACAGAATATCAAACTTAGAATCCACAACGAATGGTCCTCCGACCAGACACTCTTTCTTTCAATCTGCCCTCCATGCGCTTTTCTTGTACAACCGAGAAAACAGACTACTAGACAAGTAAATTCCTTAAATTTACCTGATGATTACCATTCTGTTGATTCCTCCGTACACTCTGTTGGGGCGAGTCATCATCAGCAGCTGCCCCCATTACCATAACAAAACTAACTCATCAGTAACTTCATCATCTATCTATTGTGTGTTTTGGTGAGACAAAAAACACAAAGTAGAGACTCAATTGGTTCGTGTGGAGAACATTACCAATAAGATTTGCAGACTCATGTTGCTCAGGCGGGTTGAGCCTAACCCAATCATCAACAGTTCCTTTCCATTTTCTGGCACAAAAGAGAAAAAAAATAAAATCAAACACAAACTTCTCATCCAAAAAAAAGGAGATCACATAAACTTGCAGCTGTAACTACTCTTCAACTACTTCATTCCAAGAAAATCACAACAAAATTCATGAAAAAATCAAACCTCACAAGCATCTTCACCAATCTCCTAACTTCACTTGATGGATGCTTCCTCAATTGATTCACATGCCTTCCAATATCAGTGTCCTAACAAATAATATCAATCCAAACAATTAACTTAATGGAACAAACAACAATAAATCAATACAAAACCAAACAAAAAACAAAAAGAAAAAACTCACCTGAAGAGCTTGGAATGTAATATCCATATCTGCTAAAGTTTGAAGCAAGTCAACCACATCCTCATCCGACTAATTCATAAGTTAAATAAAATCAGCTCATCAATCAATTCAAACATAAAGCAAAAAAATAATAATAAATAAATAAACTACCAGTTGTGGATTTTCAAGCTGTTGTTTGATTGTAAGAATTTGAGTTTGTTCATCATCATCATCAAACAATCCTCCATACGGATCTGCATCTTCCTCTTCCTCATTCTTCTCATTACTATTCTCCTTCTCCCGTTGATTCGACTCCGGTGTTAACGGACTCTTATTCATCATCATCTCCACATTTCTAGTACCGTTATCTAACCTATGCTGACCATTACCATCGTCATCTGAGCTCCGGGAGTGCGTGGAGTACAATTTTTCAACGATTCCATCACGTCGACGTTTCATTTCATCGGCACAGTCAACTGCAGCAACAGAAATCGCCGCATCAATCATCGTCCATACATCTACCTTCGATTCCGATAGAATCAACCGGAATTCATCCAAATCCATTAGGAATAATCTACCGGAAAAATTGTTGAATATATTATTGGAATTTACATGAGTAGATCCATGGATGATGATGAAGAATCAGAAGGAAACGACGCCGTAATAGGAACCATTTTTGTTAGATCTGATTATGGGAATTTTTTAGATGATTTTACGAGTCGTCTTCAGAAACCAGACAGAGAACAGCACATAACAAGAGGGGTAGAGTGGGTGGGTGGGGAAGAAAGGGGAGAAGAATATGGAGGATTTTTTTGGAATAATTTTTATTATTCTATCTCTTTGGGCTTATGTTTTAGGTTATTTTGTTAATTATGACAAATTTTTGGGAAGCTAAAGTGATTAACAGTCACGTTTCGATTTTCGAGAGTCAAGTTTTAGATGTTTGATTAGATTTTAAAGAAAAAGTTATGTTTTTAAGAAAAAATTAAAGAATATTTTAAAATTTTCTCTGTTTTTTTTTAGTTGTTATAGTTTGTTATTTTTGAGAATCAAATGATATGAATTTTGAATAATATTTTAAGATGTATTTTTTCATTATATCGATATGAAAAATGTTGCAATTTGTAGTACCTTATGTATAGTTTTTGAATATCTAAAATTTATTTTTAAAATATCAAATTAATTTAATCTAATTTAACTTTAAAAATTAGTCAAACTGACTTTCGAAAAACATAATATTTAGTTGTCATATTATGTTTTTCGAGAGTCAATTTGACTAATTTTCAAAGTTAAATTAAATTAAATTAATTTGATATTTTAAAAAAAATAATTATATATTCAAAAACAATACATAAAGTACTATAAATTGCACGTTTTTTTTTATATCAATATGATGAAAAAATACATCTTAAAATGTTAATCAAAATACATATAATTTGACTTTTAAAAAAGAAAGCTATAACAACTAAAGAGGAGATACATATTTTTAATTTAAAATTATAAAATTCCAAAAAATATACAGTCTCATATTTAATGTAGACTTAAAACTAAGACAATTAAATTGAATAGTAAGATTAGTCATTTTTAATTAATACTAAGGGGTGAGCTGTGAAGCAACAAATGGTTTTTGATGCTTTTGTGTTTTTTTTCTCTCTATATATATATATTTATTTTCTCTCACTAGAATGTAGTGGGCATTTTTGTTTGTATATGAGGGAAAGTAAAGTTTAGTGTATTGGGCTAGTGGAATTGGTGGATTTGGCTTCTTTTGTTGGCGGGCTAATACTTATCTTTATTATAATTATACTTCCCTCCAATTATGTATTTTTTCCATAAAAAGTTAAAAAAGGGGCAAAAAAGTAAAAAAGAAAATGAAGTTAATTTATCTATCTTATTATAATATAAAAATATAAATTGGTTTGTATTTATTGAAGTATTTGATCATTTGGATAAGTTTGACCATTTTATTAAAGTTTTTTTTTGACTTATATATGTGTTTTACTATGCTAAACACAAAATGTAAGAAATGTTCTTCGTCTATAATAATTGTTCACTATTTATTATCTAGACAATATGATTGGATTTTTATTTTTAGTATAATGGACAAGTAATAATAGACAGAATTTATAAGCTAAAATAGATAAAATTATAATTTGATTATTAAGTTAGCGTTTGGTTATAGATTTAATTAAAGAAAAAAAAAGTTGTTGAAGTTTGTTAGAAAAATAATTTGTGGATATTGTAATTGTATTTGGACATCTATTTATTTAGTAAAAAATTAAAGATTTATGTGAGTGAGGTGAAAGTAAAATTTCATCCCAAAATTGGTGTGGATCAATTCTTAAATTTTGGCATTTTTTGAAGATAATTCATGAACAAATAATAATTTATTTAGAATCGAGGTGTGATTATTATTGTATAATTTGATCACTCTCAATTTACAATTTTTTAAAAAATTTATAAGCACTTTTATTTTATTTGAATCTTCTATTAATAATTTTTTATTCCTAATACACTTTGTAATCTTCAAATTGACCCTTCATTTTTGTTATTGGTTCATTTCCATTTAAGTTTTCTTTTTTACTACACAATCAAGTCCACCATCACTCAACTATATATGAAGAAAAAATAAAATGAGACCTATCATTTGACCAAAATAATAAAAAAAAACACCAAATCACAATACATCGTCATCATTTTTTATTTTTTTATTTTGTTCAATTTCATTTCAATGACGATAAATAACGAGTAGGGTTAAAAAGTTTAAACATATTATAAAATAAAAGCAATATAAGATGGAAGCAATATAAAAAAAATAAATATTTTTTTCTAATTCTTTTACATGATATATTTAAAGTGCAGAGAAAAACGATATAAATTTGTAATCCTCTATTTATATACATATTTTTTTATAAAAATATATAAAAGGTTATCATAATATGACATTAATTAATCATGATAATGAAAGCGAAAGATCATGAAGAAGGTGGGGATATTATATAGCATTAAAAATTTAAGGTCATGAAGAAGAAGGAACATAATGATGAAAAATAATGAGGAGATAAAGGAGATTATATAAATTTTTCATAATAAATTATTTATTTTTGATGATTTTGTAAAACTGAAAAAAAATCTCTAAATTGAATATAAAAAAAATATATTAAAAGATGAAGAGAATAAAAATAAAAATGAAAGAAGAGAGATTTTTTATTTTTTTACTTTTTAATTGTTATATCTTTATTTGTAGTGTTCATAGAGACATAGAAAAAGTTATCATAATATGACATTAATTATGAAAAATATAAGGAAAAAATCATGAAAAAAGGTAAAAGACATAAAATGAAAGTAATATGAGACAAAATACTACGAAGCAATAGAGAGATAACATAGGAGACAAATATATTCAAGTACATAGAATGTAAGCTCTTGTACCTTTATTTTTATGTTGTTCATAAAAGACATACAAAAGATTATTATGAAAAGTGCATAAAGATAATGGAGAAGGTGGAAGACATAACATTAAGAATTTGAGGTCATGAAAAAGTCGAAACACAATGGAGAAACGTATCGAAAAAATTAAGAAATTATAATTAGTGAGTATCCATATAGATAAAGTATTTATAATAAAATTTAACGCAAATTACTAATTTCGTCTCCGAATTACTGACAATCTTAAAAATATTCTTCTACTTGACTAACTTAACTTAGATATACCTCGATCTATCATATGACATAACTATTAAAGAGTGATTCAAAACGATTGACTAAATTGGGACATGGGTAGTTTAGCAGAACTAGTCTTTGGGTCTTTGTTAAGTAGTTTCCTATATTTACTCAAGTTTCATTAGTGTGCTGATTAAGTGTCATAGTGGGTTACAAGACCTATATTTTAGGATTAGTTGTTTATCTCTTAGCCTATATATCATGTGGGCATATTTTGTTATTTTAGTACTTCCAATTAATCTGAAATTAAACGCAATCGCAGTTTTTCTTATCTTTTTTATTATTTTCATATTTCTCTGTACTTTTTCTCCAACAAATTTGGCATCAGAGCCAGCCATGACAAGTAGCAATAGTGCATTGAGTGTGGCACAACCACTCATTCATGTCTTCAAGGGAGAAAGCTACGAATTCTGAAGTATCTGTATGAAAACTATACTCAAATCTCAAGATCTTTGGGACTTGGTAGAATGTGGATTTGCAGATCCCGACGAAGGAAACAAATGGTGAAGCAATAAGCAAAAAGATGCTAAAGCGCTGGCTTTTATTCAGCAGGTTGTTCATGATAGTGTCTTTTCACGGATAGCAACAACAACCACATCCAAACAAGCCTGGACGATTCTCCAAAAAGAGCAAGGCGATTCAAAGGTCATTGTGGTGAGACTGCAATCACTTCGGTGTGATTTTGAAACCTTCATGATGAACAGTGGAGAATCTATTGCTGGTTTTTCGTCAAGAGTAATGATAATTGTCAGTCAAATGCGATCCTACGGAGAGAAGGTAATGATCAGACCATTGTGGAAAAGGTATTGCGAAGCCTAACTCCAAAATTTGATCACGTAGTTGCTGCGATAGAAGAATCCAATGATCTATCCGTCTTTTCCTTTGATGAACTGATGGGATCTCTTCAAGCTCATGAGGCGAGAATTAATCGATCCACAAAAAAGAATGAAAAGAAGGCATTTCAAGTTAAAGATTCAGCCACCAAATATGGAGAAAATAATGGTCAGCAAGCAGAAGTCGAGGAAGACGAGGCTTTTGCGGTGGTCGAGATCGTGGTTATGGAAAGGGCAGAGGAAGATTTTGCCCTTGCTGCAAGTGCAAAGAATGACTCAAAGTTGTGGCATTTGAGGTACGGTCATCTCAACATAAACTGCCTTAAATTGCTAGGTGATAAAGATAATGGTTCTTGGACTACCAAAAATTAGTTCTCTTGATTTATGTGAATGGTGCATTTATGGGAAACAAACCAGGAAATCTTTTCTTGTTGGAAAGGCATGTAGAGCTTCTAAATGTTTAGAATTAATACATGTTGACTTATGTGGTTCTATGCAGACTAAGTCTTTAGGTGGAAGTCGTTATTTCTTGTTGTTTACTGACGATTATAGTCGCATGAGTTGGGTGTATTTTCTGGAAAACAAGTCAGAAACTTTTGAAAAGTTTCAGGTGTTTAAAACTTTGGTAGAGAACCAAAGTAGTTGCAGTATCACTGTTCTTCACACATATAGAGGAGGAGAGTTCGTGTCCAACGAATTCAATTTGTTTTGTGAAAAATATGGCATCCATAAGGAGTTAACAACTCCTTATACCCCAGAGCAAAATGGTGTCGCTGAACGAAAGAACCGAACTGTCGTGGAGATGGCAATGAGCATGTTGCAAGCAAAGGAACTCATAAATTAGTTTTGGGCAGAAGCGTGGCAACATCTGTTTACTTGCTGAATCTTTCACCAAAAAAAGTTGTTATGAATAAAATTCCTTATGAAGCTTGGCATTGTAGGAAATCAAATGTAAGTCATTTACGGGTTTTTGGGTGTGTTGCTTATGCTTTGGTAAGTTCACAAGCTCGTCAAAAACTTGATGAAAAATCTAAAAAATGCATTTTTGTTGGCTATTGTACTCACTCAAAAACATATAGATTGTATAACCCTTTTAATGGCAAGATCTCAGTTAGAAGAGATGTAATATTTGATGAAAATGCAAGTTGGGATTGAAGTGAAAAACTAGTGCGACAAGAGACTCTTGTGCCTCTTGGAATCACTGAAGATGAATGAAAAGAGTCAACCCATTCAAGTACACTTTTAGGTTCTTCTGTGGTGTCA